CTTCGTACAATTTAAAAAATTCTATAAGATTAATTTCTGCTACTTAAGAACATTTAAATGCAGTTTTGTTCACTTTTATCATGTGAAAAGTGTCATACATTTTACATCCATGACTCACTTTAAACTTTGGATTGTGAATACCCTCTTTGCCCTTTGTGTCTTCAGCCTTCTAACCTTTGTTTAAATAGATGTTTACACCAAACGGCACAAGATTTTGAGCAGATGTAGGAAGAATCTCTACGGTAACAACATATGAATGCAAAGCACCTTTCTGTCATGGTGGTTCCTGGCCCTATATGCTAGTCTCTGCAGAACTTTGCTTCACCCTGCAGGGCTGTCCTCATCTCTGAAACACCAACCTGGGGCTTCCACAGAGTTACTATGAAGCTATATCTGCAAATCCCTGGGGTGTCTAGAGTTCAAAGAAACCAAATAATTATGTATCAGGCTGTGTTAGGCCTGATGTCCACTCCCGTGGAGGGCAAGACTCTCAAAGGGTACAAGCTCTGAGAAGTACCATGTCTTAGACAGATGCCCTGCCTCTGCATCCTGCCATGCTGTCTTCCTGTTTCTCGACAACTTGGGGTTGGGGCGCATGCTAAAGACATGTGCAAAACATCCTGTGCACCCTGAGGGGAAAGGTAACTGTGCTCACTGAGGAAACTCAAGGCTGCAGGGCAAAACACTGTTTCTAAAGTGATTCCCAGACTAATGGAACTGTTTCTTGAAAACTATTTTATCTAGAATCTATATAACCACTTTTCTGGTCTTCATTCTAAAAATCTATGTTTCTAATCCATGGGTAACATACTGAGTCAAGGAAACAATGTAAAGGACAAAAGGAGGGGACCACAGGACATGTGTTCCCAGACTCAACTTCCAGTAGAGCCTGAAAACATGCTTTGCGACAGTAACACAGTACCCGGAAGACCGCCAACACTGTCTGTCAGGACTAATGACCCCAGAGGCAACCATCATTAGCCAGTTCACTAATTAGGGTCTGTTTGCTGAGTTAATGGGAAGGGCAATCACTTGTTAATTTAAGTAAAACTCCCAGGCATTTCTGACAACCATCATCACAGAACACTGGAAGGCATTCCAGTGAAATTCAGAGAGCTAGTCTGACAATACAAAAGTATTCACAAACTCTCTGAGGAATCTGCTGTAGGAATACCTTCCTCATAGGCCTTCCTCAGTTATAGGGAAGTGTGCCCCTGGATCCCTAGGGACTACTAGCACCACAGAAAGAAGAATTGCTCCAAAATGCCACCAGGGAATGGCGAGAGCTGATGCTAGGCTATGTGTCCATGTGTGCAGGAGGGTGGTGTACAGTGTATCTCTGTGTGATATTTTGACTTGGCTTTTGTGCTAAAGATAAAATAGCAGTTGATTGTGATTACATTACATACAACTTAAAAACCATGAACTGTGAAGAAATCTTGTCATTGGAAGGGATTTCAGTTATTGCTAAAACAATGCCTATTATTTAGGAAAACATTCTGTAACTCACAAATGTGGGCTATTACAGAATTAGCTTTCACCACCAGTACATAATTTAATTAATCACTTAAGGCTTCCATAGGTTTCACCTGGATCCTAGAAATGGCAGGAAAGGAGGGATGGGGCACAGCCACCACTTCAAAAGGAAGCAGGCCTGGGGAGCAAGTGGAACTAATAGTCTTCTGGGCCTTGAGAAACTGTAGTTCAATTATATAACAGATCAGATGAGGATCTAAGGCTCAAGGTAGGAGGTAACTTTTTGGCATAGTGAGCAGGCCCACTAACAGGACAGGTGTCCAGGCTTGGAGCAAAGCTCCCTGGAGGTCACCTAAGAACTTGATCCTAGAACTTCCCTTCAGATGAAGGATGTAGACTCTTAAAAAGGCAGGAGTCCTGAGCTACAGCGCATCTTGATCAACCGAGGGGCAGCTGTTAAGTCACAGTCCTGGCACAACCACTAGAGCCTTCCTGTGCTCATACCCCTGGCATGTCCACTTGTGCCTGGCCACTGGGTATGTGTGCACTCTTCTGGAAGTTGGAAGGCATGTTAAAATGTGAGGCCCTGAGTTAGTGAAGCCACAGGTCATAGAACAACATTTCCTTCCGGAAGGACTCATGCTCTCTACAATTCAAAGCCTAGGCCCCAGAAAGAAGGCAATTGCTCACACAGGAAAAAGAAGTAGGTCTTTTCAATCTTCAGGGTCCCTAAGGCAACTCAGAAGCCAACCTAGATTTAGTGGCTTTCCCTGGGGGACTTTACCGGGCAAGTGATTAATATGTTGGCTATAACACACTCACTTGGCAGCTGATCTAACTCTAGGGTGCACAGTGGCCACTTGGGAATTTCCAGGCAGTGCATGTTCTGAGGTCTCTGGTTTTGCAGAATGCTGGACTCTGTAACACATGTGATTCTAAGCAGACTAGTTTATAGCCTGATATGAGCCCATGGGCTAGCCTAGCCAGGCTATGAAGCAGTGTGTGTGTGTGTGTGTGTGTGTGTGTGTGTGTGTGTGTGGGTTATGAAGGCTACTGAGGGAGGCTTTCAGGCAGCAGGGCACAGCAAAGGCCTTGAACCAGCTCTACTCTCTAAGCCACACATGACCAGACTCTCTGGACCCTCACACAAGCTGACCACTAGCATCTACAAGATGGAAATTTACATTTCCATCTACAAGATGGAAATTTACATTTCCAAGGTAGGCCCTGAATCCTGCCTCTATCCTGTTCCTCCACTGGATAACCCAGAACAGGAAAGCAAAGAAAACTTCAATTTCCTCATCATGAGAATGGGGAAAGGACATCTCCTTGGTGTAGATAGGTTTAATGCTTCATAAGACAAAGGTGGGTCTTATTAATCTGTTCCTGGGCTATCTCAACCAGATCTCTTGACAAATGCAGAAGAACTAGGACTATACGCTGGAGTTTTCATGGGTTCCATTTCACCTGGGCATCACCTTAGAGCCTGCAATCTCTGGGCTGGGTATACACTGAAGAGAAGGAGGGGAAAACCAGGCAAGCCAAAATGATCTGTAGTTGGGCAGACTGAGTTAGTAGTCAGGGCAGAAGAGTGTGAAGTCAGAGTTCCCTAGCTCCTAACCCATAGCTAGGACTCAAAGGGCATACAGGGAAAGCACAAGAGCCCTATGGTCTGTCCTTCTAACTAGGATTGTAAGCAACAAGACAGCATTCCTGGGACCAGAGACTGGCCCAGAAGACTGAGAGTCAGCTTGACAGACCAAGGTTGGCTTCATCAGCAGATCTGTGTGCTGGGACCAGAGGGAAGTAAAAGAACATCTGCAATGGAATTAAAGCTTAAAGAACATTTACTGATAACTAGGTAATCCTGTCTCTTTATGGGAAGGGAAGATGGGCAGTCCTGCAGGGCTGAGGCCAGGCAGAGCTCCAGGTGTTGGGCAGGACAAAGATTCATACAATCCAATGTTATTGCTGTACCAAAGCTACTACCAAGGGAACAGGAACATACTATGTCTTGTGAGGCTTCCTGATGACCTTGGCTGGGCCAAGGAGGCTATAAGGAGAAGGCTGTCAGGCAGTAGGAAGAGGATCCTTGAGCCAAGACAGTCCTCATTCTCTGTACTCCAGGCTGTGGGGCTCTTGGGAAAGAAACAAGGAGGGCATATACTCAGAGGGACTTGAGCAAGAATGAAATGGAGACAAAAACGATTTCCTATCTGCCTTCTAAAGGAGATGAAGACTCATATCACGAATCTAAGAAGGAACATAGGATGGACTCGGCCCTCACCACAGCTCTTGGGAGCTACTGAGAGTATGGTGGGTGGAACGTTTGGTCCAGGAAGTGGCACTAGATGTATGGCCTTGTTGGAGGAAGTGTGTCACTGTGCAGGTGGGTTTTGAGACCCTTCTCCTTGCTGCCTGGATGCCAGACATCTCCTGGTTCCCTTTGGAACAAGATATAGAACTCTTAGCTCCTTCTCTAGCAGCATGCTTGCCTGAACACAGTCATGCTTCCTGTTTTGATAATAATGGACCTCTGAACCTGTAAGCAAGCCTCAATTAAATGTTGTCTTTTATAAGAGTTGCCTTGGTCATGGTGTGTCTTCATAGCAATGGAAACTTTAAGATAGAGGTCAAGTGTTAGAGATAATACAACTGGGGCTGAGAGGAGCCACTATGGGAGACACCAACAGTATTTGAGTTCTCTGCTTCAAAGCCCATGGGCTTCTGCATAGAGCTGGCTTCCTCCTAGAAAACAGAACAAATGCTAGGAGAAAGTACAGAAGGTCTTCATGGGCAGGAGGATGATCAGAGGACCATGCTTCTTCCCGTGTCTACCACCCCCTCCATCCACTGAACTGTGCTCAAGAACACAGTTTATGCAGTCTGAAGAACATGCCATTACTGCTACATCCAGCAGAGAACAGGCACAACACACTCTAGAGGGGTCAAGTTGCCCCAGTAGATGCTGGGTTGGCTTCAGGAGACTGGTTTGAGAGAAGTTGTACAGGGTGAGACAGCAGCAGGAACACATGGGTCTGTTGAACACCCCCCACACCCCCAATCTCTCCTTTCCTCCATCAGGAATGCATGAGTCTATTGAACAAACATCACCTCCCCATCTCCCCCCTTCTCCCCCATCCCCTGCCCCATCTCATCTTTCCTTCTCCAGCTAGGACACCAATAGCCTGACAGCCTCAGTCTCTATCTACAGTCCTAGAAGGTTCTCCCTCACCATCCAGCCTGCAGCTACGGAGTGATAACATAAGTTGATGGCCAGGGACTTGGCCAAGAGCTGTCTGAACAAAGGCACGTCGTAGATGGTGGTTTTCAGGCTTGGACAACTCCCAGGCTCATCAGTGACTTATCTGAAGTATGAAGGAATAGTGGTCAACAAGTTGCTAGAAGGTGGAGTATGAGGAGTAACAAGATATGAAATTACAAACATCAGTCCCCAGGCTGGATTGAGTCCACCTAGAGTGCCACTCATGGAATGGACACTCAGTCTTAATCCTAGGCCCAACCTGAACTTATGTGGAGTTGAACATGCAGGAAGCTTATGCCAATGGCCAGTGGAGTCAGCTGAGGAGTCAGCAGGCATCAGTTTTCCAAGGGGAGTCTGGTGGGTGTGGCATTGTTGACAGCACAGTCTGTGGATGAAGGAGATGGTGCTTACAACACAGTGGCAGTGAGAGGTGAGGACTCCAGTGAGACATGCGCCTCCCGAGGGCTGAGGGGAAACCAAGGCAGGGGAATATGACAGTTCCTGTCACCTAACTGTTAGGGCCGAATCTTTCTGTACTGTAGAGCCGCAGACAGGGAAAGAGGAAGCTTGTGAGGATCACCTAAGCCGTCCTTATGGATGCTCTTTGCTAACTTCCAGGCCAAGAAGATAGGAGATGGAAGGGGTAAGGATGGTCACTGGTGAGTCAACCTTTACAGGTGGGTGCTCCAAGAATGACCTACATCTGTGTTTAGAATAGTTGGTCTACACTAAGGGAGCCAGACAATGTCAGCTCTTGGAAGGTGAAACCCTCACATGGCCTAGAGATAAGATTTTTTTGCTATGGTTTAGACTACACCTGGGACACTTGTCTGAATCTCCAGTTGTTTTAAGCCATCTTTCTGTGACATCCACCCTGTTCTCCTGAGAACTAGAGATGTCAGGACCAGAGACAAGGCTCTCCTGCCTCCAGCCCAGCAGGCCTTTGGGAATCTGGCAGGCGAGAGCCCAGCAGCTAGCACTGGGTAAGCAGCATTCACTGACAGACCCAGCACTGAGGGGATTCTCCACTGACACTTTATTACCCACTTGCCAGCCCAATACTTCCTAGAGAAGCAGCATGTGCACACCACAGGGCTGCATCGGATGGCTTGGCTCCTCCCAAGTCAGGAGCAGATGCAGCCTCAGCTAAGCTTTCCCCAAAGATTAGGAATGGGGAGGTGACACAACACAGGAAAATAATCTAACAGCAACATTGCTAAGCAGTCACCTCTCTACTGATTAAAAAAGGAGAAAAAAAAATTGGACTGTAATACCATTTAATCCCCAGAAGCTAATCTAAATGTAACACTCAGAAGAAAACAAAAGTGGCACAAAGAGATGCGCCAGCCCTGCCTTCAGGGAGACTGGCTTTATTCCCAAAGTGAGCCCATTAATAGAGCTGGGAATGAAATGCCAGTTCTGTCTTTGTAAGGGGAGGGGATTACCAAACTGTTGTTTCTAAGCTCAGTTTTAAGTCACGGATCTCTGAACATCAAGAAAGCCTGGGGCTGAGGCAGCCCTTCCCATAAACCTAAGGCCAGTGCTTCCAAACCCACCCAGTGGGTGTTGGCTGGACAAGCATGAGCTCCAGACCATTGGAACACACAGACTGTAGAGAACATGTCACCCCATGGTCCTCAGACCTACTCCTCTCCCTGTAACACAGGAGGTAACAGTGCACAAATGGCCTGGTCAGGTGTCCCTGTCCTCCAGAGCTCCATGGCACCTATCCACCTTCCTCCTGCATCACTGCTACACAAAGCCCATTGTGACTCTGACTGTGTAGCCCTGGTCACTATCTCCCACACTGTCCTACTTTGTTTCTTCCATGGCATTTTGTATCATTCATTAGCATAGTCTTACCCTCCCTTCCCCATATTGTCCTCTCTTTAATGTGTGTGTGTGTGTGTGTGTTCCTTCATACACTTTGTATCTGTCTCATTCACTGCGAACTGTCTGCTTTGCTGCCTGGGAGGGGGCGGCTAGGGTCTTGTCATTTTCTGTACCTGGAACACTGCAGCCTGTGGCTGCAGGATGGGTGAGTCATTCCAGCTGGCAGTGCTGAGTCCTGTCTCTGCTTTCGACACTGTCACTTCGTCCTCCCCAAGGCTGCCAGTTATCTTTCTAAAGCACAAAACCAATCCTATCAATTCCTCACTTAAAAGCTTTTTTTATGACTTGCCGCAGCCTGCAGAACAAGTTCCAATGGCTCTTGTGCACTGCTGGCCTTGTGTCCAGAACCAGCCTCAACTCCTGGCTTTGTGCAGGAGAATACCTTTGGCACCCCAGGTCTGCCTTTCTGATATCTCACCAGAACCTTCCTGTAGGTTCCACGCACCCTGTCACCTGAGCACAGAACTGCCTGGCCATCTCTCTGGGGCTGCCTGGTGAACTTGGGACTCAGATGCCCCACTGTGATCGGCTCATGGCACCACCCAATAGCTCAGGCAGAGACTAATGTGCCATGGTCTCTGTTCCAGGAGAGCCTTACCACATTCCATAGCTCCCATTGCTCGCTCCCAAGAAGCCTCTGTGTCCCTGAGAGTCCCTTGAGTGCTTGGCATGTTTGGGGCTACAAAGATGAAGGGAACAAAGCTCCTCCAAGCAAGAAGCCTGTACTCTGCAGACTAGACTGTGGTGACTAGGCATGGGTAAAAAGCCACACTAAGGGGGAGTAGAGGTCCCCAACCTTTGGGCACCGTGAAGATAGGGCTCTATAGTATGGGGTCAAGGGGTTGCCAAGATGCCTTTACAGAGATCGGTCAAGACAAAAGCAGTGAGGTCTGCCTGGGGAGAGGGTATGCACAGGCAGAGCTGCCTGATATCAGAGGCAGCAAGGACCACATCTCATCCTCAGCTGAGGAAGGAGGCCTGTACCAGGTCAGAGATCACACCACTCAGTCTCATGTTTAGGAGAAAGAATGATGAGAACATTCTTTCTGTAAGGGGAGGAAGCTTCCAGACAAATACACAGGACCCCCCAGCTTCCTTCTGTCAATGGTAGGCCCAGGCACCAGAACACAGGCCTTAGGTTAGTCCCAGATATCCCCAAAATAAAATACTTGAAAGCTCTTCCTGGGAGATAGATTTTGATGGTTCACCAGGAGAGTAGAGACAGAGGACAACACGGGCCACACTCTGAGTACACACCACACTATTTCTCCTTAAACACTCTGGTAGAAGACAAAGGTTCACGGCAAGTCAGGAAGTTCTTTCCTAGACCTCACTTGAGCTTTCATAGCTGTAGTTCATGTCTCTGGCCTTGCTGCTTCTCAGATAAGGTTTGCTTCTCTGAGGAGTGCCAGTGAGCCTGCTGCCAGTTTCTTTTCAAGCCATAGTCTATACCTCCCTTTCCTGTTAGGCATGTAGTCCTTCCCTGGAGGGCCTTTCAATGTCTTCACCCAGGGCCTGCAGGGCTTAGTTAGGACTTGGTTAGGACTCATCACTTAGGGTGACAGGACAGAGCAGGGAACACAAAACTGCTGGCAATTCTTGCATTTGTCTCACTTGTCCCTAGCCCAGCACTCTTAGAAGCTGACCTCGGGGGCCTGAGATCTTCAGAGCATTGGAAAGTCTCCTTGTAGTCTGTAACGCCTGCACTCCAATCAGCTTGTCTGTGTCTCAGGAGTCCCCAGAGGTTGTTTTTTTTTTTTTTCCTGATAAAATCCACAAACAGGGTCTAGGTCCAAGGGAGAACAGGTTAGCCTTTGTCATAGCTGTTGCTGCTTGGTAAGAAGAAAGCAGTCCTAATCTCAATTTCCCCCACCCCACAATTCCCTTTAGTAATAATCTTCCTAATTTCAATTATACAAGTTACCCACAAATGCACACTGTTTAAAAGTGAGCACTTCAGATAATGCCATCGTCCCATTTGGCCTTGTCAAAAAAACCTAAGCTCCCCTGAAGTCAGTACCAGTCTCCACCTGGAGGGTGGCTTTTCCCTGCCTCTCTGTATCATGCACCCACACCCCCGAGAGGAGAACATCAGGTGTCATGTGGCATTTGGGCATATAGATACAATACCCAGTGTCTCTCTTCTATGCTTGCCTGCCCCTGTGGCTTCCTCTGTGGTGGTCCTTGCTGAGGTCTCAAACCCAGGAACCTTTGCTCCACCCCTCTCTTCTGCCCAGCCCAGGCTGTAGGCATTTTTATTAAACAATCAGGGATAACTTGTGGGGCAAGTGGCTCACCCTCTGTGGCATCTGTTATTCCACAGTCAATAGTTGTAGAGCCTTCTATCAGCTTCAGTGAGCTGCTCTGGTGTTTTATACCTATAAACAACTGCAATGTTCCATCCATTGCTGCTTGTATCCAGAGTACCTCTAGGGCAGGGCTCTTCAAGGACAGCTGCCAGGTACCAGCCTCCCCTCCCTGGCCCTTGTGGCTCCAGATTCAGTTGTGACCATACTCTGTATATCAAGGGCAAGTGTGCTTGCTAATATGTAAGCTAGCACTAATATTGCATACTCTATGTGCATTGCTAGAGGCTTAACAAGCACATCCCAATGCTGTCTAAACAATCTGCAGAAATGAGTCTCAGTAGTTTGTAGTGGTTTGCTACTATATATGCTGCTATATATTTTAATGCTAAATTCTGTACCCAAAGATCTGGTTGCTCCAAGACAAGGAGATCCTCCTATAAACCAGCTTTTGTTATGTAAACCTTGCCCCACAAGTTATCCCTGATTGTTTAATAAAAATGCCTACAGCCTGGGCTGGGCAGAAGAGAGGGGTGGAGCAAAGGTTCCTGGGTTTGAGACCTCAGCAAGGACCACCACAGAGGAAGAAGACCAAGAGGAGGGAGAGATAAGTCACCCTGGAGTAGCATGGATTGTGAGCACATGGCCATAAGGGCCAGCCTGTGGAGTAGGAGCAGCCCAGGCAGAACAAGGCAAAAGATATCTCAAGGTTATTAACGGCCAAAATAGCAGACAGGGTTGATATCTGTCTAGCTCTAGTGCTTTTAAGGCTTATTATAAACATAAAGGTTTGTTTCTTTTATTTGGGTACTAATAATCTATGTGGGGTAAACTCTCCCCCAAAATAATATTAACCACAATAGTAGTTCTGATATGTCACAGGCCATATCTTAAGCAGTACACAAGTGTGATCTGCATAAGCACCTGACTGACCTCAAAGTCTTTGCCCTGGGGAGACCCTGCTTCCTGTGGCAGAGGCTTCCATGGAACAGTATGTTTTCTCTCCCGACTCTACCTATTACCCTGGGACAATGGCTGCCTTACCTACCCTCCTGGTGCACTTCTACCATGCCATGTTTTAGGCTGGATGGTGGGGACATAGCATGCTACTGAATGAACTCTGGATAACAGGATGGCAAACAGAAAAGGAGCTTAAGCAAGTATGATCTAGACAGAAACGGGAGGA